CACAGCGGTCCTGGGGCACTGCCACGATGCACCACTGGCTGGTCATTTTGGAGCCCGGAAAACCACAGATCTGGTACGACGGACGTTTTGGTGGCCTTCCCTGGCAACGGACTGCCTACAATACGTGGCGGCCTGCCCTCACTGTGCCCGCAACAAGGGACGGTCTTCCCCGGCCTGGGGCCTACTACGGCCACTCCCGATTCCGTCCCGTCTTTGGACTGCCATCTCCATGGATTTCATCGTGGATCTTCCTCCGTCCGAGAATTGCACGGCCATTTTCGTGGTGATTGACCGCCTATCCAAGATGGCCCACTTCATTCCTTTACAGAAGGTTCCCACGGCCGAGATCCTAGCCCGCACATTCATCCGGGAGGTTGTGCGTCTTCATGGGGTCCCCACCGACGTGGTCTCTGACAGAGGGGTGCAATTCACCTCTAAGTTCTGGAAGGCTCTGTGTACGGCTTTGGGTATCCATCTGAGTTTCTCATCAGCTTACCATCCTCAAACCAATGGTCAGACAGAACGGACCAACCAAACTTTGGAGCAATACATCCGTTGCTTTTCCACCTTCTCCCAGGACAACTGGGTGTCCTTGCTTCCATTAGCAGAGTTTGCGTACAATAATGCCAGACATTCTACCACGGGCCAGTCACCTTTCTTTTCCAACTACGGCTTCCACCCAGCCTGTTTACCCACCCGGAGACTGGATTCGGCAGTCCCAGCTGCCCAAAAGACAGTGGACTTCCTCCACTCCAATACCATCCTGCTCCAACGGGCTATTTCTAAGGCCCAGGTTGCGGCCAAGGGCGCGTATGACCGTTCCCGCAGGGGGGATTTAGCATTACAACCTGGAGATCTGGTGTGGCTGTCTACTCGGAACCTCAAACTGGCCTGCCCTTCCAGAAAATTGGGACCCCGGTATATCGGGCCTTTTCCGGTGGAACGCCAAATTAACCCGGCATCCTATCGCCTGACCCTCCCGCCAGCCTATCGGATCCACCCTGTCTTTCACACCTCTTTATTGAAGCCAGTCCAGCCGGACGTTTTTTCAGATCGCTCATCAGACATTCCGAATCCTGTGCTCATCGACGGAGAGGAGGAATACGAGGTGGAAGCGATTCTGGACTTTCGCAGGCGTGGGGGCACTGGTCAGTACCTCATCAAATGGAAGGGCTACGGTATGGAAGAAAACTCCTGGGAACCCATATTGGCGATCCACGCTCCACGACTCATCCAAGCCTTTTTACAAAGCAACCCAAACAGAGCCCACCTGATGGGCGCCCGGAGGCCGCCCCTTAGGGGGGGGCCATGTCGGGTCCCGGTTCGTAGACCATGTCGGGTCCCGGTCCGTAGGCCAGGTCATGGAAATAAGACTGAAACATCATTAGGCATAAATTGGATTATTTCCATCAAGCTAGTGATCAACCCCTAGTAATGGGGGGGCTGGGTGCTACGCCCATGCACAACTGTGACTGACACTACCCCCTCCCGGGCCAATCAGTCCTGGGGAGGCGCATTTCCTGCCATGCAACTACATGTGGCTTCCCCTGCCACAACTGATTACCCCAGGAGCGGGGTGTCTGTCACAGTTTTGCATGAGCTTGAGGCGAACTCTGGTGAATCGGGGTTTGCACCCAGCCCCCGCACACCATTACCCACCACCTATAAACACAAAACCAATGTCATTGCTCTCTCCAAATAGCAGACAAACCGACATTGCAGATGGTGGTGGGTTAGTCCTCGGGTTCCTGACTTCCAGCCACACGCACACAGTGACCCGATTGGATCTTCATAATTATGTTTACTGAAAGCGACTTAGACAGGGATGGCCAAACTCCGGCCCTCCAGCTGCGGGTGAAACAACAAATCCCATGAAGCATCTCTCTCCAGGAGTCATGTCTGTGGCTGTGAGAATCTTGCAAAGCCTCATGGGATTCGTAGTTCCACCACAGCTGGAGGGCCGCAGTTTGGCTACCCATGGACTACACCAATATACTGTGTTTCCCCGAAAGTAAGACCTAGCGCTATCTTCAGGGATTTCTGTAATATAAGACCTACCCGAAAATAAGACCTAGTTCGGTGGTAGGTCTTATATTGCAGCTCCCGCCCCGCCCACACGCCCGCCCACACGCCAGCCGCAGCTCCTGCCCACACGCCCGCCGGCCGCAGCTCACGCCCACACGCCCGCACGCACGATGGAAGCGACATGTCACCGGGACCGGCAACAGCACGCCGCCTTCCGGGACCTCCTCCAGTCATCCCCCAGCCAGGTAAGACATCCACCGAAAATAAGACCTAGTGTCTTATTTCGGGTATAACGACTCGTAGGTTCTGTACATATGACACCTCTTTTTTTATTACGATAAGGACAAAAAAATAATAAAATGCCTTTTTCTACCGAATCCTGCTATAGGCCATCTCTTCCGCCTCCCCCTTGGCCTGGCCCTGAATGGAGCCACCACATCTAAGGACTGGTAAACTACAATGTAATAAAGTATTCTTCTCTGTGATGACCCAGCGCAGTCCGAGTGACACTTACCTCTGGTGGTCTCTCAGACCTCCCGCCACCGTCTGCCCCGGCTGACCGAACGTCCAGCCTCATCTTCTTCCCTCCCGGTAATTTCAGCTCATGGACGTCTTTCTGCAGCACCCCGTCCCGAGCTGTAATGGAAGAAGAAGGGTGACAGGAATGTGCAGACCTCCCAACTGCCCCTCATTTGGATCCCCCTCCAACCCTGAGTACTTACCTGCCTCCTCCTTGTAGTGTATGAGGATCCCCCTCCAACCCTCAGTACTTACCTGTCTCCTCCTTGTAGTGTATGAGGATCCCCCTCCAACCCTCAGTACTTACCTGTCTCCTCCTTGTAGTGTATGAGGATCCCCCTCCAACCCTCAGTACTTACCTGTCTCCTCCTTGTAGTGTATGAGGATCCCCCTCCAACCCTCAGTACTTACCTGTCTCCTCCTTGTAGTGTATGAGGATCCCCCTCCAACCCTCAGTACTTACCTGTCTCCTCCTTGTAGTGTATGAGGATCCCCCTCCAACCCTCAGTACTTACCTGTCTCCTCCTTGTAGTGTATGAGGATCCCCCTCCAACCCTCAGTACTTACCTGTCTCCTCCTTGTAGTGTATGAGGATCCCCCTCCAACCCTCAGTACTTACCTGTCTCCTCCTTGTAGTGTATGAGGATCCCCCTCCAACCCTCAGTACTTACCTGTCTCCTCCTTGTAGTGTATGAGGATCCCCCTCCAACCCTCAGTACTTACCTGTCTCCTCCTTGTAGTGTATGAGGATCCCCCTCCAACCCTCAGTACTTACCTGTCTCCTCCTTGTAGTGTATGAGGATCCCCCTCCAACCCTCAGTACTTACCTGTCTCCTCCTTGTAGTGTATGAGGATCCCCCTCCAACCCTCAGTACTTACCTGTCTCCTCCTTGTAGTGTATGAGGATCCCCCTCCAACCCTCAGTACTTACCTGTCTCCTCCTTGTAGTGTATGAGGATCCCCCTCCAACCCTCAGTACTTACCTGTCTCCTCCTTGTAGTGTATGAGGATCCCCCTCCAACCCTCAGTACTTACCTGTCTCCTCCTTGTAGTGTATGAGGATCCCCCTCCAACCCTCAGTACTTACCTGTCTCCTCCTTGTAGTGTATGAGGATCCCCCTCCAACCCTCAGTACTTACCTGTCTCCTCCTTGTAGTGTATGAGGATCCCCCTCCAACCCTCAGTACTTACCTGTCTCCTCCTTGTAGTGTATGAGGATCCCCCTCCAACCCTCAGTACTTACCTGTCTCCTCCTTGTAGTGTATGAGGATCCCCCTCCAACCCTCAGTACTTACCTGTCTCCTCCTTGTAGTGTATGAGGATCCCCCTCCAACCCTCAGTACTTACCTGTCTCCTCCTTGTAGTGTATGAGGATCCCCCTCCAACCCTCAGTACTTACCTGTCTCCTCCTTGTAGTGTATGAGGATCCCCCTCCAACCCTCAGTACTTACCTGTCTCCTCCTTGTAGTGTATGAGGATCCCCCTCCAACCCTCAGTACTTACCTGTCTCCTCCTTGTAGTGTATGAGGATCCCCCTCCAACCCTCAGTACTTACCTGTCTCCTCCTTGTAGTGTATGAGGATCCCCCTCCAACCCTCAGTACTTACCTGTCTCCTCCTTGTAGTGTATGAGGATCCCCCTCCAACCCTCAGTACTTACCTGTCTCCTCCTTGTAGTGTATGAGGATCCCCCTCCAACCCTCAGTACTTACCTGTCTCCTCCTTGTAGTGTATGAGGATCCCCCTCCAACCCTCAGTACTTACCTGTCTCCTCCTTGTAGTGTATGAGGATCCCCCTCCAACCCTCAGTACTTACCTGTCTCCTCCTTGTAGTGTATGAGGATCCCCCTCCAACCCTCAGTACTTACCTGTCTCCTCCTTGTAGTGTATGAGGATCCCCCTCCAACCCTCAGTACTTACCTGTCTCCTCCTTGTAGTGTATGAGGATCCCCCTCCAACCCTCAGTACTTACCTGTCTCCTCCTTGTAGTGTATGAGGATCCCCCTCCAACCCTCAGTACTTACCTGTCTCCTCCTTGTAGTGTATGAGGATCCCCCTCCAACCCTCAGTACTTACCTGTCTCCTCCTTGTAGTGTATGAGGATCCCCCTCCAACCCTCAGTACTTACCTGTCTCCTCCTTGTAGTGTATGAGGATCCCCCTCCAACCCTCAGTACTTACCTGTCTCCTCCTTGTAGTGTATGAGGATCCCCCTCCAACCCTCAGTACTTACCTGTCTCCTCCTTGTAGTGTATGAGGATCCCCCTCCAACCCTCAGTACTTACCTGTCTCCTCCTTGTAGTGTATGAGGATCCCCCTCCAACCCTCAGTACTTACCTGTCTCCTCCTTGTAGTGTATGAGGATCCCCCTCCAACCCTCAGTACTTACCTGTCTCCTCCTTGTAGTGTATGAGGATCCCCCTCCAACCCTCAGTACTTACCTGTCTCCTCCTTGTAGTGTATGAGGATCCCCCTCCAACCCTCAGTACTTACCTGTCTCCTCCTTGTAGTGTATGAGGATCCCCCTCCAACCCTCAGTACTTACCTGTCTCCTCCTTGTAGTGTATGAGGATCCCCCTCCAACCCTCAGTACTTACCTGTCTCCTCCTTGTAGTGTATGAGGATCCCCCTCCAACCCTCAGTACTTACCTGTCTCCTCCTTGTAGTGTATGAGGATCCCCCTCCAACCCTCAGTACTTACCTGTCTCCTCCTTGTAGTGTATGAGGATCCCCCTCCAACCCTCAGTACTTACCTGTCTCCTCCTTGTAGTGTATGAGGATCTCCCTCCACTCCTCTGTACTTTTCTTCCCCCTCCTTGTAGTGTATAAGGATCCCCCTCCGGTCCTCAGTACTTACCTGTCTCCTCCTTGTAATGTATGAGGATCCCCCTCCAGTCCTCGGTACTTACCTGCCTCCTCCTTGTAGTGTATGAGGATCCCCCTCCAGTCCTCAGTACTTACCTGTCTCCTCCTTGTAGTGTATGAGGATCCCCCTCCAGTCCTCAGTACTTTTCTTCCCCCTCCTTGTAGTCAGTGGTGTAACAATAGCCATAGCAGCTCATGTGACTGCTCTGGGGCCCGGGGTAGGAGGGGGCCCTATTAAGGTGACTGATTAGGAAAGCTAAATTGTGAGGTTTCCAGTATAGAAGGGCTGCAGTCAGAGCTCAGGATGGTCTAGTCACCTCTCCTCCTCTGTGCAGGAAGATGGATTTTCTTATCTGTCTTCTCAGTGTAGATATATTGTCCTCTGAACGTCTCCTACAGACTGATATGAGCAAAAGCAGAGACACCGGCACTCCAGGTGAGGAACAACAAACGTCTATTTATTGACGCGCAGCATAACAAGTATTGCAACGAACGTTTCGGGGTCACACAGGATCCCCTTCCTCAGGCAAAAGCATACAATGTAAGTACATAAAGACAGTTGATATATAGCACCAGACCAAGCAGAAAAACTGTCTTTATGTACTTACATTGTATGCATTTGCCTGAGGAAGGGGATCCTGTGTGACCCCGAAAATTTTGTTGCAATACTTGTTATGCTGCGCGTCAATAAATAGACGTTTGTTGTTCCTCACCTGGAGTGCCGGTGTCTCTGCTTTTGCTCATATTTGTGACGGCTGCCATCCGTCGATTACCGCAGCATCCCGCTTCTTGTAAAGGGTTTTTGCAGTCAGGAGTGCGATGGGACTATGGATTCTCTACAGACTGATATGACCCCTGGTATGTCTAAAGTAGTCACCGATCCCAGAGTGTCCCCTCTGATAAACCTTATAGGAGGGCTGAGCTTTGTAGTACTACAAGTTTAATAAATCTAGAGTTTACAGAAGTTTGTATTGGGGATCAGAGCCGTAGCCAGCTCCTTTTGCGCCAAAGGCAAGACAAAAAAAAAGTCCCCCCCCCCCAACAGGCATGTGATGTCATGCGCCCCGCCTCCAGGATGTTTTAAATTTTTGTTATTAATTTTGTTTTACTGTCGGGGCCTTCAGGGAAATATCAGGAGTCTAAACGGCCCCCTGATATTTCCATTTTAAAATAGATAAAGAAATTGAGGACACAGAGTCCTAAATCTCCCCCCCCCACCACCGGCTTCAGCGCTTCACTTCTCCTCGGATCCCTGCTGCGCTGAGCCCTGGCTGCGCCCCCCTCCCCCCACACCTGAGGCAAATGCCTCAGATGCCTCGCCCTTGCTACGGCCCTGTTGGGGTTAAAGAATAAGTGTGTGGAGATCAATCATCGTTGTATCATAATATAAAATATAACTCTAATTGTTATTATTATTTGAACGTCTAGAACTTTCTCCCCCAGCACTGCTCCTCATATTGTACCGACTATGCTGACAGTTTCCTGTTCCCCGTCCTTCATACAGACTTCATGATAAGATCAATGAGACATCACAGATGACACTGCCGGCCGCTCGGGGGGGCCTC